GCTTTTCTTGGTTGTTCGGGTGGGAGGCATCTTGTGTTGGAGTTAGATTGGATATGGAGGGAGAGGAGTAGTATACGGAGTATATATACGAGGACCTCGTATTGACTGACTCAGAGGCTGTGATACGAAGCACAACTACCTAGGTACCTAGGTACTAGGCAGCCATAGAGTCTGCTCTCATCTTCCTCATCTCACCCACCACCCTCTCCCCCGTCCATCCCCCCCTCAACCCCCTCAACACCACCTCCTGCTCGCTCTCCGGCGCCATCCCACTCGGCGCCGGCGGCCGGCGGTCCAAATTCGTCGGAAACGGATACCCATCCGCGATGGCTCGCACCGCATTCTCCAGCAGCGCATCGACCCTCCCCCCGGCCGACTCATACCGTCCCCGCAGCACATCCCAGCAGCGCTCCACGATGGGCACCGCATCAACCGCCTCCATCGCCTTGCCAAGCGCACTGCTAATCTGCAGCAGGTTCGCCTTGCGGAGGAACCCCCCCTGCGCGACGGAGTCCACCATCTCGTTCGCGCCAGCGGCATGGAACACAGCCGGGTTGAAGAACACCCCATCGCCGAGCCCCAGCTCCAGCGCGACATAATTCTCCTCGAAGAACGCGGAGAACTCCTCCCGCCGCCAGGCGAGATACCCGGCCTCGAAGGTCTGGCTGAAGGGGAGGAAGCGGGTAGGCCCACTCGCAGCGGGCATGGCGCTGTGCGCGACGGCGCCCTGCAGCGTGAGGTGCTGGCTGGCGCGGTGGACGGCGCGCGGGAAGGCGGCGCAGCGGGCGTCCTCCTGGAAGCCGAGGTGGTAGTCGCGGTGCGGGTGCTGGGCGGCGGCGCCGGGCTTGACGATGTTGACCTGGGCGGTGATGCGGTAGGCCGGGCCCAGCCAGGCCTCGCTGGCGAGGTGCAGCCACGGGTTGGCGTAGTAGGCGACGAAGGAGGCCGGGTCGGCGCGCGCGTGCTTGCTGAAGGCGTTCCAGATGCGGTCGTTTTTGCCGCGCGCGGCGAAGTGGTCGCCCTTGGGGGCGGTGCTGGCGCGTTGCTCCTCGTCGATGATGTGCTGGAAGGCGGCGTTGGTGGCGGCGAGGGTGTCGCCGTACTGCGAGGGGGCGTACATGCCCTTCAGGACGTAGATGCCCGGGCCGGTGCTGAGGATGTCGTACCATTCATCCTGGAAGCGGGTGGCCAGGTCCGGGGGGACGGTGGTCCATGATGAGACGTCGTAGATGGGGATGTTCTTTTCTACGGACTGGGCCAGGGGGTAGCGGGCTTTGTCGGTGGTTTGCGAGCAGATCTGCTTGAACTCGTCCAGCGATGGTGACGCTGGGTCGATGAGTCTGCCGTTCGAGAGTGTCATAGCTAGATACGGTTATAGCCTTAGAAGTTGGAGTATGCTAGGAAGTTCGATAGGAAATAGTGACAGTCGGCCTGGATACATCTTCATGAAGACCAAGAAGGATCCACGTGGATGCGGAATCCATTCTCCGAGATGACTAACTGCGCAGGTGTTGTGTATGGATGAGAATGAATAAGTATAAATGGGAGTATACTACTCCTGTCCAGGATCTCGAGGGATGATGCTCCCTTGGATATATATCGCTATCCACACTCTAGATGGAGTCAGACTGGGTGGAACTCTTCGCGTTATATACTAGCACATGACAAGCCCAGGGTCAAGCCAGAGACTGAATACTCCCTCGAGAGACAGCAGTTGTATGTGTAGAAGACTGTATCTCGCAGCCCGCGTCATCATACATGGGCAGTATATCCGTTCGAAGAGCGGACAGGTTCGCTGATCCTCGTCTTAAGATCATAGTAGAACATTCACCGAACTCACTACAATCAAATCCTCATACCCATCGTACACATTCCCCTATGTACCTATATCATAATATGCATTGTTCAAAGCGATGTCAGCGTATCTCAAGAACATCAAGCCCCAAATGCAAGAAAGAGAACGAAAGGTTACGAAATTACAAGCAAGGTGTATCTCGGCCAACCAATGTTATATTCAAGGGAATCCCAGCCTGCGCGTAATTCTATTAATGACCCAATTTTCTCCCGAAACACAAACAAGTGGAATGAAAAGTGAAAAGAATCGGGGGAATAGAATGAATTAAAGAAACAAGGGAGCAGCAGCCCCCGAAGAAAAAGAAACACCGTCGTGACATAACCTCATGCATTCATCATGACGACCCCCACATCTGGATTCAACGGCTGATCCGTGGCGGCCGGCGGGTTCGATCGATTCGACTCGCTGAGCACGAGGTGGTTCTCGGACATGGTCTCGACCAACGAGCTCGGACGCCCGGCAACCGTAAACAGGATCTTCAGCAAGACGCTCTGGCCCAGGCCCCCTTCCGGAGTCGACACCGGCTCGTGTCGGGTATGAGCGAGCAGAATGCGGACGAGAGACCGGATACGCAGATCCGTCGACTCGTGCTGGATCACATCCAAGCCATCAATCACGCAGACCACCAGCGGTGGGGCGTAGTGTAGGAGTATATCGATCAGGGACAGAACCTCCTTCCAGCTGGTCAGAGTGCCGTCGAGCGGTTTGAACCGGTCCGGGCTGAGGTCGCATGCGGCATGGCCTTCCAGCACGGGTGGAAGACAGTCGATCAGTTGTCGAAGTAAACTGTACGCCAGGGCAATCAGCGCCTGCTCGTAGACCGTCATTCCGTCTCGCTCATGTGTCGGGAGCGAACAAAAGTGAGAAACCACCGGCAATCCTTCTTTTCGAGCCAGGCTGACGTAGCATGCCGAGATCAGGGCCACCGGGCTAGGGAAGACTGTCGTCGGCGCACCGCCTACCGCCAGAACTTGAGAATGAGCGTTGGAAGCCCACTGTTGAAGAGAAACCATCACACTATCCTCGACGTTGACTTCCACATCGAGTTCGCAGTCGGCGACTTGATCATCGCTATCAAAGAAATCGAGAAGGTGTTTGGATCTGGCTTGCATTTCGGACCGCGTGTACTTGTGCTTGAGCCCATGCGACCACTTGAACCTGGACATGTCTTGTGACGAGGGCTTGGTTAGTTGCGACCGATGTTCTGTCTCGAGATGGCCATCCGGCATACCTAGATCCTGCGCAGCGGTAGTGGTCAGGCACGCGATTCCACTGTTCTGCTGTGTAACAGGACGGAGCCGCTGGCTCGCTGATTCCAACATCTGCGCAAGAAGGGCCCCTCGCTGGCTCCGCAACAGCGCCCGCTGGGCATAATCAATTTGAATCTCGCACATCACCTGCCGAGTGAAGACGGTCGCGGAAAACCAACGCCGAACCCCGTCTGCCAATCCGATCTGGTTGAGTCTTGCCTCTTCCCAAAGACGCAAGTTATCGTACAGCTGGACGGCATCGAACGGGGGTTCGTGAGCGGTGTTGTCCAGGTCCATGTCGTCCGAGGTCCCTCGGACAATATCTTTCGCACGGCGTTGAATGGCGTAGATGAGGCCCCGCAGATGCAAGTAGACGTCCTGGCTGAGACTCTTCAACAGCCCACAGGCCGAGCCCCTATTATACCATTCCATGATCTGACCAAGAAAGAAAAAGGTCGTGGAGTAGAATCTTGCGATGGGGATGGTCGAAAGACCGAGGCCGGATGATTGACCATCTTCTGTCGGGGCACAGATACATCCGTTCACCTCGGTGAATGCTTTCAAGATCCCCTCTATGAGATTAGGATAGTTTGCACAAGCCTACCCGGCAGGTTAGCTTTGGCGGCGTGGGGGGCAATGAGAGCATCAGTGACCGCCACTCACTTTGAGAATGGACTGTAGGACGGCATAGAAGAGGGACCGGTTGGCCTCATAGTTGGGCAGGGCCTGGAGTAAGATGGCGTGAGGGTCCAAGGTCGACAGGAATTGGTCGCAGAGGGTCATGGAGCGAGTGAACAGGCGCTGTCTCGGGCTGGACATCCAGAGGGCCTGGATGCCGCGCACCACGGCGACGACATCATCTTCGGTCTGTGGTGAATCATGCAAGTCCAGTCGATCAGCGGGAGCGAGATGATCTTTGAACTCTTTCCAGGATTGGAGCAGTTCGTTGTATTCGACATCGAGAATGGCGATGGCCGGGTCCCTGAGGGGGATTAGCATTCGCCATTATTATTATCATCGGGAGGGTGACGGGATGGAGTGGAGGCGATGCAGATCATCCGAGATGAACAGAGCCACAGAGACAGAAATTGATATAAAAATAACAGAGAGGAAGAGATAAAGGAAGAAAGACATGAATCAGGATTTACAAGGAAAACCCGCATAGGGACAATAGACGAGTAATGATGAAGGGGAGGAATAGTCAATACGCACATTGACAAGGGTCTCTTGTCGAACCGCTTCCTCCCCAGACTGGCAACGGGTTCGTCCGCCGCGGCCGGAGGGGCGGCTGGGACGGATAAAATTGGAGAAGGCATTTTGCTGTCAAAGCGGGCGTGAATGTCTCCCGCGGGACGAGGCCGGTCTCGTCGATCGAATCGTATCGCTCATGTCAGGGGCAGCACGGTCTCGGAGGGAGCGAGTCGGGACGGACGGGGGGGCAGCCAGACGGCGGACGAGACTGATTCGATGGAGACCAGTCGGTCGGAAGAGGTGGAGGAAGGAGAAGGAAGGGAGGTGTCTTTTTTTTTGTCGCACGGAACTCTGTCTCTCAGGCGCAGGAATTAGGATTATTGGGTGTTCATGGCGAACATGGTTTGAAGGTCACCACGGGAGGAATCCCGCTGGAGAGATGGGAACAAAGAGGGGCGGCCGAGAGGGGGACGGGGGTGTCGGAAGTTTGTGACGGAGGGGGTTAGAAGAGGAGAGGGAGAGAAGATGAAGAGAGAAGGAGAGAAGAAAGAGAGGGAGAGGGAGAGAGAGAGGGAGGGAGAAAACGAGAGTGAGGATGATGAGGGAAAAAGTACAGGCGGTACTTTGGAGATTAATGACGGTCTTATTTCTTCACTACGACTGTTACTACCTTTACTGACTGGTAGAGAGAGGTACTCCGTATAGAAATCCAGTTGGGTACGTGTCTAGGTATGAGCCAGGATAGGGTAGGGTAGATATCGTATAGTTGACTGTAATCGTGACGGGGGCTTCCTCCATTTCTCTCCAGATGACAATCAAACACACCCACACGCTGTCTTTTTTCTCCAGTAAATAAGAAGAATAATCGTTTGGTGAGGTACAGATGGCGACCATATAGGCCCGGTCGATGAGAGCCTCGGCCTTGCCCAGTGCAGAGCGGGAAAAAGGCCACTTTTTGCCCTCCCCTCCCGGAGATGGTCTCGGCCAATCACTCCGGACAGACCAGGGTCTGGCCCGCGGTCGAGGCCTCGACCGCAACGAATCGAAGCGGGGATGACGCCAGGACTCTTTTTCCCCCACGACGGGCCTATCACCGTGCCCGACTAATTTTGGCCAGGGCTGATACCAGTCGTAGGTGTCCCGATTAGGTAGGCACCTCAACCCTTTTTATGATCATTAGGAGGGTATTCTTTTGTCGTCGATAGATACCTATCACTACTATACAGTCTATACAGTATAAGTACAGTATAGGTATAGTCGCGGTATAGTATAGTATACCCTAAAATCGGGACAGGTATCAGATAAATTCTAGTCCTATCTACATCCCTACCAAGGTGGGAGATAGCTCAACTTGCCCAGGCATGTTCTGGGCGTCTATCTGAACATGGTCATCCCTCAAGCCAAACCTTCC